ATGGTGTTCATATTTAGCAGACAGAATTGTCTTCTTTCATGTGCATACTTATGTGCATAGGTAAGACTTTTAAGGAATAGAGTTTCAGGTAAAATACACCTGCATTCTGATGGACCTCTCTAACCTGCTTGCACCTGGAAAATAGGAACAATTTTGTTACTGTCTTTAATTTCATAAAGTTTTGCCAACACACATGTCCCCAGATATTTCGACCTTTCTGAGCTTGGGGTAGATTCTGTTACTGGGGATTAAGCAGGAGCAGCAGTCCTACTGGGGACAACTTTGAGGTGTTCAGATGAAGCTATGGACCACGAGGAGATACAGCGCAGACTGGAGAATAGCTTCTGAGAAAACTCAAAGGAAAAATCATTGATAATATGTTGGCATGCAAAATGGAATCTGGGTTTAGGATTAATAGCATAGCTATTAAGAGATTAATAGACAAGTAACCAACAGTAATTATGGGATGTTTTCTTTGGAGAAAAAACTTGAAATTTGCCACTTACCATTCCTAGTTTTGTAAGGTCTAGCTATATCTCTCCAGAGCAGAATAACCTCAATCCAGAACACTTTTAGAATGATCACCAAGGCACTGATTAGTATTAACAAGATACTACATCCTGCAACTATGTAGTAGGTGCTTTGATGATCAACTGTTCAAAAGATAGGGGGAGGAGAAAAATGATCATTATTATTGCTAAAATAAGATAAAATAAACAAATACATGGGGCCTGCCCTCCATTGGGAGGACAAGAGATTCACCCAAAAGACATCCACTTGGAATTTTGATGGCTGCTTTAAGAATCAGTAAATTAACATTTGTTGAGCCCTTGTTCTGTACAAGACATCAGGCTATACACCATACAGGAGTCTAAGGACAAAGAGACATAGAGACATACGTAGACTTAGCTAAGATGGGAGGTAAAAGCATGATTTTTGCTATCAGAGGCCTTTAGAAAGAGAGCTCGCTCCAGGCGAGACTGAACAAGGGGGACTTCCTGCAGGAGGAGGAGATCTTTCAAGAAGGGTAGGATTCAGAGAGATGCAAAAAAGGAAATGCCCTCCTGGCCAGAGAGATACTGTGAGCCAAAGTACAAACAGAAAGTGTGTTTTCTGAGGAACTGCAGTAGCTCAGTTTGGAGAATTAGTGGAAGATATGATTAGAAAGGTGGGTCAGGGCTAGGTTCGGACCAGACTGGAAACTCCAGCTAAGGCCTTCTGTCCTATTGGGAGGGCCACAAGAGGGGTGGTGAGTAGGCTGTTAACAGTGAAGGTGGTTCTCGCATAAGACTAATCTGATGGTGGTGGAAGGTTTGTTTCTGTGGGAAGAGACTGCAGGTACTCAGAGTAGAATGGGGCCTGGTACTCAGTGTGGGAGATGAGGAGGGTTTGAACTCCTGCAATGAGAAATGAATGGACAAGCCTAGTGTTAGGACATTAAAGAGGAAGTCTGAGAGACTTGTTGCATCTGAGGGTTGGTGGTGTAGGAAAGCAAGGGAGAAACAAGAACCCTGGAAGTTGCTAAACCGTATTTGATAAAGAAGTCCAGTTACTAAGTTCTGGGTCCTAAACATGTTCCATATTTCTCTTATGGTGGACACTACTCAGCCATCACTGAACTTTATCCTGGCACTCCTTGCTTCACAATGCATATGCAGTATGGCTTCTATCTTCAAGGATTGTAACAGATTATGTACAAATTGGACTTAAGAACTATGATCATTCATGGTATTTTTGTCTATTTTAAGTTTACTTCCCTCTTTAGGATTGTTAGCTATTTTATCTTAGAAATAGTCCTATTTAAAGATGAATGTGAGAAGAATCCCAAATGAGATTTGGTTATATGGTTCTTTTTCATTTCGATCTTAAGTCTCTGTGCATGGGCTCCCAGTTTTGACTCAGAAAATCACTGGCCCATATTTGTCAGTTCCTCCATTACCTCTAACAGTTTATCAGCTCTCTGAGTATCCAGCACCATGAGATCAAGGATGATCAAGGTGATGTGGGGAAGCAGGGGGTAAAAAAACTGAAAATTGACCCAAATCTTCAGTTAAATGATAAAAACTGTAAGTAAATTATTTCAACTGGATTCCTTTCCAGTTCGCTCTCTCTAAAAATCCTGTCTGGATGCATGGTAGGAACATATACTTCTTGTGGGGATCATTGTAAAGTAACTGTGCCAGTGGCTGGCCACTTTCAACTCAAGGGAAGAACTTGATCTAAGACGTTAAGGGAAATTGAAGTTCAGTATCTTCTGAGGTGTGAATGATTTTATACATATATAGATAATTCCTGTGTGTGATGAGAAAACACTAAATACTTCCTATAAGTGTTTATAAATAGGAAAATGCTGCCTGCATTTGAATCTTGACTCTATAACTATAGTATTTGGCAAGTTACTCAACTTATTTTGCCTTTGTTTTCTTGTCTATAAAATTAGATGATAATGACAGTCTCTTCCTCATGGAGTATTGAGAAAATAAATGATAAATTTATCATTTATAATGATAAATGTAAAATAATTAGACAGGATCTGGTACATAGGAAACAATGAATAAATGTGTGCTATTATTATGAATGTCAAATATTTATTTAATAATATTTCATAATATGGAGACATCAGCTTTTTAAGTTCTTGTTTTCCAAATTCAAGAAATGCTATAATTTCAGGAGTGAAGGAATTTATCATGACAATTCAACAGCAGTAGCAACAATTTTCATTTAATTTATACAGTTGTCAAAACAGAGTGCACCTGTGTTGATCTGAAGAAAAACACGTGAAATATAAATAAACTAAAAGGAACAAAATCACCAAATAACCTATAACATGAAAATAATTCAAATACATGGGTAGCCAGAGAACATTCATTAGCAATAATGCAAACAAAGCATGAGGATATGGAGGCAAGGGGAGTATAGGTGGGGAGAATGGATAGATGGCTCCAGGGTCTACTGTGCCCACCACTGTCCCAAGCGTGGCCTTCACATAACACCTCGACAGGGTGCACAGCCAGTGTTGGGAGGGAGGGCACAGTTATCATTGGCAGAAACCTGATGGCCTACAGAACATGACAGCACTTCAAATCATCTACATGAGTCATGATTCTATTTATTTTATAAAAACTTGACACATTGAGGGTTCAAGTCAAAATTAAAACCAAAAAAATCCCTTGCACCATCTCAGGCAGAGACCTACCATGACCATGTCATATTGGTGGCCTGCTTTCCTGCACCCCTAATCCCTTCTCATCTTATTGTGTCCTGTGTGTTTATCCAAGGGAATCTGGGCCATACCCCCCCGTATCTGATGAACTCAGAGTTTAACACTCTCTTTGGCTATTTGATAAGCACATTAAATAATTTCCATGTAGTTATACAGCCACTAAGGAATGACAAGTGTAAAAATATATTTTTCTCTCCTTCTTTTTGTACAGCATCAAATACTTCCTATAACAAACAGGATGTCTTTGTCTGGACATGCAAAGAACAAGTGACAAAACTGGTAAGTGCTCAGGAATGAAATGCATATAACGCTATTTTCTGAGACAACATTGAATTCACAGACACGCCAACGGAATCGGTAGAAGGATCAGTCTGCCTCTGTGAGAGGAGTATTTCATCACTGACGTTATTGAACATTGGGTATGGTGATAAAAAAAAAAAGCACAGTGATTTGTGGACAGCTATATTGCTGTTTTGAAACCTCTATAGAAAGCATATCCCCTTGTTGCCTGCACCTGCGAGGGATCACGTTCTCCACCCTGCTTTGGTTGTTTGTGATGCCACCCATTATCCATAAAAGAGAACGTTGCATTTTAAAAGATTATATATAGTATCTAAAGTTAATCCATTTAAGATTAGTCAATTTCATATTGTCAGATTCTATTGTGTCAAATTATAATGAAGTCACCAAAAGCATGCTAGATTCAGATAAAACTATGGGGAAGCTATACACAATTTGGCTTTCCAATTTATGGGGAAAGTTATTCAGTTTACCAAACATAAATACAAAATAGTGTTTTGTTGTATAATTAAGCCTTATGGCTAGAAAAGTAGAAATGTACAAACAATGTTTTTTATTGATAACTTTGTTGTGGCATTCATTTATTCACTCAACATATATTTATCGAGGACTTGCTAGGTGTTAGGCACTGCACTACAGACTGAGGATACAAAGGTGGGTAGGATGCCATCCCTGCCCTCACATAGCTTACAGTTGTGTTAAGCGGACCATCAAACAGATTTCAGTAAGACAATGACCAGTGCAACAATAGAGACAGGATGCTAGAGGAGTACATGGAAGATGTGTGTACCCAAAACTAGCAGTCAAGGAAGGCTCCCCTGAAAAGGTGGTACCTGAATTGCATGTTGAAAAATAGATGCAATAAAGAAATGGGCTGTGCTAGCAGATTTTTTCATGAGTTCCACCTAAATTTAATACTTCATAAACTTTAACAATGATAATGCATGTCTTATAAAGTGGCATCTAAGATTTTCTTACTGAAATGTCAGTAGCTGAATATTCCCCTTTTTGTTCATTTTCCCATCCTCACTAACCAAATGTGTGTTCATTATGACCAAAAAAAAGTATAAAAGGGAACATATTTATAACAGGTTATGAGAGATATTAAAAGAGCATAAAAGGACATGTTCACAGTTTACTGTTGGTGTGTTTTCTTTCAAATACAGTGAGAAAGATAGAGCTCAAGAAGTTAGAAAAGAGAAGGATGACCAAAGAAGCAGTTGAGTTTTCAAGAGGAACTGATGAGGATGAGGAGGGAGAGGAAGAGGAGCAAGTAAAGCAGTGGAGAAGCTTCCCAGCATACAGACACATTCTGAGAAGACCAGATTGCATGGAGTCAGTGTCCTCAAGAGGGGACGCTCATTTCATGAGACAGGCCATTCCCATTGTCTTCATGGGTCCCCCAGAACCGAACTCCAACGCAGTGTTCTCTAAGAAAGTGATTTCAGCTTAGAGTTGACACAGCAAACTCAGGTGACAAAGCCTCAGGAACACTCCTTACTTGGATTTTTCCTACTTAGTCTTATGGTGTGCCTTCTCAAGCCGTGCAAATTCAGGGCCAGACAGTTATACTTCAGCGACAAGTCCTCTTCCTTCACATCAGCTATCCTTAAAACCTTGGTTAGACAAGTCATCTCCTTGCTGGAACTAAGAGAGCAACGCGTTATTTTTAATGCTTACTTTGCAGGTGCAAATTGTGTGGGAGGGGGACGATTTAATTTCAATACACAAATACCTTTGGTTTTGCCCTTCCTCCTCTTCAATTCTTGCTTCACCAAAGTCCTTAACTTTGCTTCCGTTAAGATCCCAAAGGACAACAGCCAAGAACTGAGCACCTCTCCCGAAGCAAGCAGAGCAAGTTATGTTCACTGTTTTTCCTAGATGGGAAGTAAATTCACCAATAAAATTAAATTCTGCAAGTAGTATTTAATTTCATTTAATGTACAAAAAAGTTCATTGTGCGCCCTGCAATGATTTCCCTCCCTCATTTCTGGCACCTTCATCTTTCTGTGCCCTCCCTTGGCCTCTTCCTCTCTCCCTCTATCTTCATTTCACTCAGTTTGGTTTGAAGCTCAGCTCCCACCACCCCTTGCCCGCAGGGAAAACTAACTCCAGCAAATGACTCTGGCATCACTAACACCACGTTGTAATGGAGGACTGCCCTGTACCCGAAATTGGAGGTATTTTTTGACTGCTCTGTTCCACACCTTTCTCCTCCTACCAATTCTCTTCGTCTCTCATAAGCTACCTTTGGAAGTAAATATGTTTTATCCAGCCCTGCTAGCATCCTCCAGAAAGAGCTCTCCAGCTCTGCATCCCACCTCCTGGATAGAAGAGAGGCTAAAATGAGATGCACACATGAAAGCACCATGAATTATCAAGTGCAATACAAATGTAAACGTTGCATGTTGCTGTGCCCAGGGTCTCTAGCACTAGCTAGTGCCTGGGGCAGGTGCTTCCACAGGTATCCCCTCACTTAATCCTCAAGGTTCCCTATGCTAATTGCCTGACCCCTGCTAAAGAAATTCAGACCAGCGGTCATAAGGAAGGATTTTCTGGGGTAATATGTATATCATTCTTACAGGTTTCTTACCGATTTCCACTTCCTTTGTTTCATTGTGTGGAGGGGCTATAATTTCTGGAAACAAAGAAAAGCCTTGCTCATCTTAAAGACAAAAAGAGGATATAAATATTAGGAGAGCATTGGATGGTCATCAATATAAAGCTTGTATATTCATATTTCTATCCTATTTCATAGTGATGTTCCAATTCTTCTGATAATCACCCATGGAAACACACATACACACACACACACATGACACAAAAATTTTCTTACTATCTACTTTCTATTCTCTTCTATATCACTAAAACAAATGCTGGTCCACCCCATTACATTAATTTCATGACCTAGTAACTATTAGAAATCTACTGTTCTACAGAATAAGCATAAAACTACAGGGAACAAGATTTCAAAAAACCCATGAAAATGATAAATGCATGAGTCCACAGTTCTTCTCAAAGTTCTGCACCACTGTGGCCCATCCTCAGTGAGAGAAGCCCCTTTCTCTTAGGGCTTCTAATTCCTGTGGCCACTGAGCCTGGAATCAGAGAAGGGAGTGTCTTTGGAGCACTGCTGCAATCCTCTACCATTAACTGCTCATTTCTCCCAGGACAGTGTGATTAAGGACCACTGCAGGGGTTAACATTAAATAGTGAGAGACACTAATAGGAATGTGATCTGGTGATGGTTATTTTACAGCAGGGAAGCATTGAAAAACTCCAAACAAAATTTTTCTCCAATATTGCTTTGCCATGAAAGAATTTCTATACATAAAGGTGCTACTTCATATGTAACTATAGATCAAGCTGTGCTAAGGAGAACCCAACTCTTTGTAGATTTCATAAGCTATGATTGTGAAGTCTTTCCCCTAAATGAGCTTTTATAAAATTTAAAATAAATTTGAAAAAAAAATTTTTAGAATGAAGCGACATACTTGGTCATTGATGACGTGGGAAGAGTTGTAAACCAGGATTGAAAACCACTCAACAATATTTATGTACACCATTGTACCCCGTCAGAAAGTTTCTCATTAAACTTCTAATCTAGTGAGTTATATTAAAGATTGAATTCTTTTTCTCTTTTTAAAATACAGAGCCTCTGAGACCAAATTGGGAAAAGGAAAATTGTTCTTGCTCTCCAAAGAGTTGTATTGCCATTCAAAAAAAGCAAATTATGTTAGCATCCAGATCGCTTTGTCTTTGAAAAATTAAATCAAAAAAGAAAGAATAAATATGGCTTTGGATTGGTAGTGTAATTTCCCCCTCAAGTTTCTTACTCAATAGTGCATTCAGAAAATCTCTGCGTTATAGGAGACAATATACAAGGGAAGGTGGAGCAGGAGGAAGTACAAGGAGGAGTATGAAGGGCAAAACTCAACCAGAGGCGTCCAATTCCCCACCCCCCGGCTCATCTTTTTTCAAATATTTTATTTTGTCACAGTCAGTAGCTTACCTTGAACTGTGAATGACCTGGTTGCTGACACACTGTAACTGATACCATTTTCATTGTGTGTAAATTTACACGTGTAATCACCTGCATCCTCACTCATTACGTTGTCAATGACCAAAAATGACCTGTGTGCCTTGTACCTTGATCCTTGAAGAGCTTGACAATTCTGAAATAAGAAAATCCATTCCCTTTTCAGTAATTCTTCCCTTGCTTCTAGCTGTGTGATTTTCACCTATCCCTCCCCCACCCCCAACACACACATTTACTTTTACCTTAAACCACTCAAGAGGTGCTGTCCAGTTGTAGAGGTCAATTGTAGGACAATAGATTTTGGAATTTTTTTCTGATCCAGATACCGTGGAATACATCAAATAATCTGGAATGTTGCAATTCAGTTGTTGTTTATATATGGTAACATTCGTGTATCCAGTCTTATTGAAGGTGGGACTATTAAAATAAGTCAAACAATTAATGACTCATTTAGCATTGTGCAATAACTTAATCCAACTCTCACCTTTACTTAGTATTATTTTTTTCTTAAAACAATTGATATATAGTGGCTATTTTTTATTTAAAAATAATCATTAAAACATAGAATTTCAAATTCCTTTTCGTTACCCTTGAGATAAAATATAACCCCTACAGTAGCCCCAAGAATGACTCCTTTACCATTTCTTCATATATTACATCACTGTATCTGCTGTCATGCCATGATCCCAGTGTAATAGAGGTAATTAGTATTTAATGAGAGTTTACTATGCGCCAGTCATAATGTTGAGCACTTTTAATACATTACTTTATTTTATTCTTACAATAGTACTTTTTTTTTTTCTTTAAATAGAGTCTCACTTTGTTGCCCAGGCTGGAGTGCAATGGTGTGATCATAGCTCATTGCAGCCCCGAACACTCGGTCTCAAGTGATCCTCCTGCCTCAGCCTCCCAAGCAGCTGGGACTACAGGTGTGAGTCACCATGCCAGGCCATGATACTACTTTGAGGTGAATTATATTACTACAGCGTATGTATTTTATAGATAAGGAAACTGAAGGGTGGAGAAGGAATTTGCCAGCATCGCACAGCTAACTGGTGGCAGAGCATGAATTTAAAACTGACACTTGTCTAGCTTCAGAATCCAGGCACTTAAATAACACATCCTGCCTTTAGATGGAGTTCATCTGATATTTTGTCCCAAATATGAGTACAAATCAAAACATTTAGCAAGGCCGGGCGCGGTGGCTCATGCCTGTAATCCTAGCACTCTGGGAGGCTGAGGCGGGCAGATCATTTGAGCTCAGGAGTTCGAGACCAGCCTGAGCAAGAGCGAGACCCTGTCTCTACTAAAAATATATAAAATTAGCTGGGCATGGTGGCACATGCCTGTAGTCCCAGCTAGTCGGGAGGCTGAAGCAGGAGGATCATTTGAGCCTAAGAGTTTGAGGTTGCTGTGAGCTATGCTGATGCCACGGCACTCTAGCCTGGGCAACAGAGTGAGACTCTGTCTCAAAAAAAAAAAAAAAACATTTAGCAATTTCCGTACAGAGTAAGTGATTTGTAGGCATGCAAGTTCATGTAACCTTCTGTAGCTTAACTAAGCTTTAAGACACTGGCAACTGCCCTTTTTCACCCACCAGAGGCTCCCACAATGCCAAATATCCAGGTTACTGGGTTTTGTGCTGATCTGTTCTTAATTCCAGCCAAAAGCGAGCAATTGATCGCAGTTCCCTTGGTCACTAGGAAAGCTAGGTCTTTCTCTAATTAGGCTACAAATTAATTCCTGTAATTACAAATCCACATAGTTAGCTCATAATCACCTAAACCCCAACTGGAAGGTATTCCTAGAAATACTCTTTTCTTAAGATCACTTTATAAATTCAACTGTTCCAGAAAGGACTAGGGAAGGAATGAAAGTGAAGGCAGCTCAGACTATCCGCCACGAAAGGCTCAAAGATTGTGGTGGCTTTCTGGACGATACCTTCTGATTATGCAAGTATAAATGCCAGAATCGTCCACTTTGGCTGGCAGAAACTTAAGGTGCTTGCCTGAGGAAAACACACGATTTCTTTCCTGGGTGGGAATACTTTTGTTTGTTTTTGAGTAATACCAATCCACAGGGTAACGAGATGCTTCTTTTTTAGGACACCTCACAATTAAAGCCTCATTTTCCAGGCCCCAGGATAGTTTATCTGCAAATAAAAAATATAAATAAGATCTTGAAATGACCATATGAAAAGATTGTAATTCCTATGTTCTTAGTATTTCCTTCTAGGATAAAACTTAGAAATGGATCATATTAATATATTTATGATACTTTTGGAAAGAATAAGTAAATGATTAAGATATTTTATGAAATGTTCTGCTGAGTATCACAAATTAATGAATTAATTTGGAGCTACATCCCCCTCAGTGCTCCCATGGTAAAGCAGCCATGTCTATCCAAACAAATCATGTGTCAGTCAACAAATGCCTACAACAGCCTCCTGTGTACAGGCACCATGTTAAATTCTGACATATTTAAATATGTAAAACTAAAATTATGATATATGTGTTATGAATAATTTCTTCTGATTATTGATGAAGAACAATTATAAAGGGCATAATGAATTTCCTAGTTTACAATTCAACTGAAACAATTGAAATCAAGCCGTTGAAAACAAGAAAAATGTTCTTAGAATTACTTAATTTTAAAACATTGACATTTTAGTTGAAAAGCAATACTTACTATACTTAGTTGCTGTGACATGTATGAGAACTGTTAGAATTGCCAAGATCCAAAGCCCCATTCTCTGTTGATCAATCAAAAGCCAAGTGTTGATAACTGATAGCTGAGATTACTCCAGATGAATCAGTAAAATGTGATGCTGAAGGTTGCCACTAGGTGATCGATGGTGCTCCTCAAGACTTATAGTTGGGAAGAGTAGTCAGTGTCTCTACTGAGAAATAAATTATACAAAACCAGAAACAAAATATTGATCAGCCATGGTTTTTACTTGCTCACCACGACCCAGGGTAATTAATCAATCAACTTGTGTTTATTAAGTACAAATATGTATCACAGCAGGTTTCAGGCATGCAACATTGCATTTATTCCTACTGAACCTTTGGGTCACAGAACCCTCACATTGATCAAGCTACTTCACAGTTATATTTTACCAGTCTTATGAGAATGTCCTGAAGGAAGCTAAATTAAGAAGAAAGAAAATGACTTTCTATTTTTGAAAAAAATTAAAACCACAAAATTCAGTTGTTTCTAGAAAATACAATATTCTATAAAGCCACACAGGCTGGTGGCAGTGTGCTCACATACCTAATTCACAAACAGATTCACTTGCAAATAGTCATCACAAAGCAACTACGAAGTAAAGGAAAGTGAGCACTAAAGCATTAGCCAGGTCATTGCCGTAAACTCTACTCCAAACCCTCAAAATTTTGTCTCTGCCTCAGTATGTCCCCAAGAATCACCAAAGGTTTTGCGAGAATAGTTGAGGGTCTGTAATAACTAAATATTTTTCTTTTTTCTTTCAGCAAAAGAACCATTTACTATATTACTTCTTATCTTAAAAAGTCAGGGGAGGGATGGAACCAATATAGAAATTTATAAGCATAAGAAGAAACACAATAATTCTTAATATATTTCAAGAAAGTACATTTCCTCTAAACACGAATTGTAGCTACTTTTCTTATTCCAAACTTTAGATAAGTAATTGATGCTTACCCAAAGGGAACGATGGAGCTAAGAAGAGTGTCCAACCCTGTAGGTACCTTCCTGTCAACTACTCACAAAGACGCATTCTCTCTTTTATTTTAAAGGGAAGCCATTCAAAGACATCCTGTAATTTGCCACTCCACTCACCCTAAAATTTTATGTTTAGCAAAATCTTTGTCTTGTCCAAAAATGCTGATGTGTCACGTACTAAGAATTCTTGGCATTGGTAAATAAATATTTAGACCTAGGGGAAACATTGAATAATCCTTTCAGAAGAAGTAACCAAATCATGTTCCCGTTTTAGTATCAGTTTCTCAACCTGAATAATGAATAATGTGTGCTATTTACCTCCCTGATATTACTATACTTTTAGTTCTAAATGATCTTGACATCTGGAGGGGCCTTGAGGCTGCCCTTCCAGCTGTTCCTTGACACTCCATTTGACAGACACTGGTTAGTTTTGGCAGCATTTGTGTGGAGAGTTTCAGAAGCAAAGAAAAGGCTTGGAAATGCAAGTCTGTAGTCCCAATATGACTCAGTCTCATTCCCAAATAGGTTCCAGCTCTGCAGACTTATGACCCTGTAGGGCCCTCAAATGAAAAAAAAAAGGAAAATTTTTCTCATGAGTTCAGGGAAATAGAGGGAGGCTGTGACTGAGAAATTTACCTCAAGGGTAATGACAAAGAAAACCATAACCCTCAACTCTTGAGTTCCAAGTAAAATAAATGTTACTAACAAAATTTGATTTTTTTTTTTTTGAGACAGAGTCTCGCTTCATTGCCCGGGCTAGAGTGAGTGCCGTGGCGTCAGCCTAGCTCACAGGAACCTCAAACTCCTGGGCTCAAGCAATCCTTCTGCCTCAGCCTCCCTAGTAGCTGGGACTTCAGGTAATGCGCCACCATGCCCGGCTAATTTTTTCTCTCTATATATTTTTTTAGTTGTCCAGATCATTTCTTTCTATTTTTTAGTAGAGACGGGGTCTCGCTCTTGCTCAGGCTGGTCTCGAACTCCTGACCTTGAGCGATCCACCCGCCTCGGCCTCCCAGAGTGCTAGGATTACAGGCGTGAGCCACTGTGCCCGGCCCAAAATTTGATTTTATCTATGCATAGTTGTTATGATCTTATTATGCCCAAACTCAACTTATTTTTAAAAGTCATCACTTCTCAGAAAGATTCAGGGACTAACCCCAGACCAGTACACTAATATATTATAGTAAAGGCTAACCTTTCTCTGGAACTTCCTGTATGCCAAATGCAGTTCTAAGTGACTTGTGTGTATTAATTCCTTCATTCTCACAATCACCCAATGAGATGGACACTACTATTATTATTTCCATTTTATAGACAAGGACACTGAGGCACAGAGAGGTTAAGCGATTTGCACAAGTCACATAACACTGAAGACGGAGCCAGAATTTGAACACAAGCAGGCTGGCTCTGAAGACTAGACTAATCACTGAATCAGACTGCTGCCCCTTGTGGAAGGTTAAGAAAGGGGAGTTCTGTATACATTTTTTTTGAGACAGTTTATTATAGCATCTTTGCTCCCCACAGTGGCTGGGCTGACCACCCGGGGATTGACCATGAGGTGTTGGTATAAATTCGAGGAATAAGGTCTGCTCATTGTTACTATTGACCTACTTGTGGAAGTTCTTATTATCAAGATTGTGTTATGAGTTTGGGCTTGAGATCTCAGAATTAGGAGCCAGCAAGTTTGGAGTGCTGCCTGGGGTTTGGTAAGCACCAGATAAGGGTTTGTTCAATGAAATAATACAAACTTGAAATTTTTTTATATTTTGTATCCTAAAACATCTTTTTAAAATATTTATTAAGTTTGGGACGGCTGGCACAGTGGCTCGCATCTGTAATCCCAGCATTCTGGGAGGCAGAGGTGGGAGGATTGCTTAAGACCAGGAGTTTGAGACCAGCCTGGGCAACACAGTGAGCCCCCATCTCTATAAAAAGAAAAATTAAAAATTAGCTGGGAATGGAGATAGGAATCCATTAAAAGGAAAAATTATTGAGAATCCCAATGTGCTGTTATCACTACATTATCACTTTGGTGAGTCTGGCCCTGCAAAATAAAGCTCGTCCTCTTCTTTCCATCCTTCAAAAAAAAAAAAAAATTAGCTGGTTGTGGTGGTGCATGCCTGCAGTCCCAGCTACTTGGGAAGCTGAGGCAGGAGAATCACTTGAGCCCAGGAGTTTGAGGTTGCAGTGAGCTATGATGATGCCACTGCATGCTAGCGTGGGCAACAGAGAGAGACCAGGTCTTAAAAACAAACAAACAAACAAACAAAAAGTTTGGACATTTATTCCTTAAACTAGGCTACATGTGTACTGGTTTCTTAGTCTTACAATTAAAGTTTCAGTCAAAATTTTAACATCATAATTATGAAATTCTGCAGAAGCATTTAATAAAGTCTAACTATTGCTATAAAATAATTCAGTCATTCATTCAACAACTAAGTCGTTTTGCTCAAAGTATAATACTGTGTGGTACTTATCAACATCACTGAAATTTTACAGATAAAAATAAAAACCCAAGAATAAGACTGGTTAAATAATTTAAACCAAGCTCACCCAGTTGTGGCTGGGTTTGAAACCAGACTTGTCGAACCTCAAAACCAAGCTTTTTTTTTTCTCAATGTCAACTAAAAGAGAAATTTTATTGGTAAAGCTGTTCTTTTTATAATTGAGCTTGGTTACTAAAATAAGCTAGTCTAATTTCTTCTTTAAAAAGAACTTAATCATTTTGTCTTCTAACTACTCTGACACATCCAACATAGAATATAGTAGTTTATAGCAACTTAAGACAAACTTCAAAAAGGCAATGGCTTCCAATAAATAAATAAATCACCTGTGAACTTCTGCCAAGTTAATTAGAACTCTTCCAGTGTCTGCTGGTTTCTTTGGCAAACACCTTTTTAAGATTTCTCATAACTACCCTTCATTCAAATTCATCTAATATAATCCAACCTAATTTAACCATTTTTCCTTGATTTTCGGTTACAGTTTTGAAATCTTACATGTGCTTATTTATAATCTACTTCTCTGACATTTCCATTAAAACAAACAAGCAAACAACAACAATTAAACTTCTATTTCAAGAATAAACAGCTAAACATCTAGATGCTTGCATGAGAAATGTGGCACTCAAATATTTCCTAACTTGGATTTGGTCAACGTCACAGCCAAATGCAAGATATAAATATCTTAATAAACTCCAGAGCTGGCTGTGCATGGCCTGGTCTTACTGTAAACCCATGTCAAAAGCCAGGAAATTTTCATCACATTAAACTTATATGTATTTCAGTGGGTCAGGCTCTCATTCAGTAATTCTCCCAGTAAGCAGGGAGGCGGAATGTTTTTCCTCATTTCCTTTAGAGAGCATCCTAGGTGCCATTTTTCTTCTGTTTTTATTTTTTTTTTTTTCTTGACGAAAATGTCTGTAGGGCCTTCCATGGATGGGGCAGACCCTGCATGGCACCAGATGGCCTGGCCTGGGCATCCAGAGAATGCAATGGGCTCACCCAGCTTCATCAACTCTGTCACCTTGGAAAAAGCGCTTGTCTCTAGGATCCCTTCTTTGCCACACTCCAAACTCTAGGGCTGCTCGAGGTTCCATTCCTTCCTTCCAAACTCCTTCCTACTTCATGCAGTTCTCCCCTCCAAAAGACAAAAGAATCTAGTATATATTCAATGACTACTAGAACTAACCAAGACTTCGTATCTCCAGAATGGAGCTCCTGATCTCCTGCAGCTCTACCTCCCCCACCCCTAAGAAAAGCCAGAGTCTCCCATTGTCTTCTTATCTCAATGACAACAACTCCATCGTGAGTGTTGGCTCAGACCAAGATTCCCCATGTTTGATGGATTCTTCTCTTGCCCACATAGCTGAGCTGCAATCCATGAGGACCACCTATGGGTTTCACCTTCAAATGGCATCCCACCTGCAACTACTTCTTCCCACCTTAGCAGCCACCACCCTCATCCGAGCCACCATCGCCTCTCGCCTGAATTTTAACAATGGCTTCTAATTTGCTGTCCCTACTTCTACCTGTGCCCTTCTTCAGT